CCCGTAAAAGCTTGGGTAGAGGTGGAGGTGGTGGTGGTGGTGCTCTTGCGGCGGGGGGGGGGGGGGTCTCTTATGTTTCGCATGCCTCAGCATCGATCGCTGTCACGATGTGCCGGGAAGATGATGAATCAATCCACCTCTGCTCTCACTCAACGGGTGAACGTCGCACAGCGACGCGATGTGCAAACACGAACACCAAGACTGCAAGGAAGAAGCAACAGGCTATTCTCACGTCGGAGTAGATGGCGATGTCGTTGTTTGCCGGCGGGCCGTCCTCGTCATCGTCATACTCATCATCGTCATCCTCATCCTGAATAAACAAAGAGCCATCGAATTGAGCATACAAGCTACTTAACGAGGAAATTGAACGAGAAAAATAATTACACACGAGTAATAGCGAGCGCAAGTTCGTTGCACGTCTGCTGGTCAAGAAACGAAGTACGCTGCTGAAGCTTGCAGCGAAAGCTGTCTATGCGAGAATTAGTTTCTGTCCCAACAAGCTACCGGGCACCTCACGGCCGGACAAAGTAAAGTTGCCCCCGCTTGAAAGACTCTCATCTCAAAGTCAACTCCCCGCAATCAAGACACAAAAAAAGTTAGAAGCAGGGTACCCCGCAGATATAAAATATAGAGGGGGCGTACCGTTTTCATCACACAGAACCCCCAAACCGACGCTGAAGAACTGCATCTCGGCAAGGTTTTCCACGTGGGGATGACGCCAAAACAATATTCCCAGTAGTTAACAAAGTATACTGTTAAAAATAAAGTACGTACCTCGTCCTGCACACTGTACACTACTGTACCCAAAGTGTTGAACAACAAAGGGGACTGGGTTGTTACAATGTCGAGGTGCAACGGCGAATGACGTGGTGTGTTACTTTCAACCAACACCACGTTGTGATCGTCAAGTTTATGATGTTTTCGGGCTACAACAGCAGTATCCCTGATAAAATTGCGCGTCTTATGACGTACGTTACTCCCACCTTGGCCCCGGGGACGGTGAGCTATCCCCCCCGGAATCTCAACGACACTTCTCCGCGTTGAAGACACTTCCAACAAAAAAAAACAGAAACAGGTGTGTCTTTCACGCGGGCTCGACTGAAAAGCAGAAAATACGAAACGCTCCCCATAACTAAAGTGTGACAACATTATATTCGTCCGATCGTTGAAGACCTAGGGTCTCACCGATATCTCCCCCCCATAGAGCGCCTCTATCCCCGGGTTTTGATCGGCAGCGCTCCCTTCATCATCATCCTCCTCTTCCTCCTCCTCCTCGTCTCCTCCCAGCTCCGACACCGATTGCAGGTCACCCTCATCGCCTCCCTCCTCCTCTTCTTCTTCCTCCTCCTCCTCCACCACCTCCTCCTCAACAGAATCGTTGGATCCTAGATCAACCTCTTGACGCGGGTCCTCCTCATCCTCATCGTCGTCGTCATCGTCGTCGTCGTCGTCTTCCCCTTCTGGAACGAACGGGTAGCAATTCACCCGCACGCGAAACGGGGATGGATGCCAACATGAAGACGGGGACACTACTACTGTTTCGAAGAAAATGCCATCGACCCCAACACTTCCCCCGAACCAACGCGTACCAAGTACCAGACTTTTTTCAGCGACGCAGAAATTCCTCCGAATCATGCCTATCTCTCATCGCACACAAACGAAATGCGCCCGAGAAACAAGCCAGGGTCACCATATTCCTTCTTCCACTCCCAGACACAACAAAAAAGTAACTGTTAACGCTGCTGCGAACGCTTGGTGCGCGCCAGTCCCCGCCCTCGCGCCAGCGACCCTGCAGGTGCTCATTAAGGTGAACCTTTCAGCGGCTACCCCCTTAAACTCACCGACGACGCCACCACCACCGTTATCCTCCTGTCCGCCGTCCCCCCCTTCCTCCTCTCCATCGTCACCGGCGGCAGCAGCAGCAGCTCCTGCTTCGTCGTCATCCTCGCTCGGGTCTTCCACCGGCACCGCAGGCTCTTCGTCAAGGTCCGCCTTAACCGGTTCATCAAAAAGTGGCAAGGCCGGGGGGTGGAGAGAAAGAGACAGCGAGAGGTGCAGGGGCGGGGGGCGGGGGGGGGGTACTTATGTTGTGCATGCCGTACTTGTTGTTAAGACCATTGGCCAGGCGTCCTCGAGAGGACGGAGTTTTGTTCCCACAGGATCGAGTGCATGGAGGGGAGGGAGGAAACCGATCGGTCACATGAAAAGTACCAGCGGATCCCATGCTAACGTGAAGATAGTGCACTCATCAATCACCATACCTCCTTTCGCCGATGGCCACGCAAAAATGAAAGCGCTGATGCTGAGGAGATATAACCCGCCGAGTACTGCTAACAGCAACAAAAATAAGTGACTGCTGTGCTGTCCAGGCCGAAAAACGACGAGAACTTGTACGGGTTCCTCGGATCCGGCCGTGGCGCGTGAAATTTCTCCAGGGTGGCTCGCGGGCAGAGAAGACGGGGAGGGATAGACCTTTTGAGGCAAGCCGTAAGCAACATGGAACAGAAAATGCTACACAGCGAGAGGTCGAAGGAAAACCCGCTCCTGCCAGCAAAACATGGAGAGCGCCTCCTACGCCCCAAACGTGCGCAAGCCGTCTGAGCCGGGGAGGAGGGCGAGAGAAATTAGACGCGGAGCACCTGGCATTTCACGCAACATGTGGAGTTCGCTGCGGCCTGCACTTCAACACCATCTGGGTGTCTAGAACGTCTGCGCCAAAAAGCATCACAGTGAAATGGCAGCAGCTTTGCACTACACGGCAACAACGTCAAGTGCGGGGGGTACATTCGGACCTTTGTATACACAGCCGTCGTTGCCCGGCAGAGAGAAACGAAACGGCGCAATCAGGTTTTGCCTAATCTAAGTGCGCCTTCAAACAAATATTGTTGCGTAAATTGCTTCAGATGCCGTCCATTACACTTAACTCTACCAAGTTCGATCCACCCAAAACAAACGCCCAACAAATAATGGGGAAGGCCACCCGGGGTGTGTGTGCGTGTGACAGGTGTCCCTTCTGTTAATCGCCAACGGTCCGCAGATACTTAGCTACCAGATACACTTGACTTCTCTAAACTGCTGTACAATCTTTGGGGTTACGCAAGAACGGACAGCCGAGATGAGCCGGAGGAGGCCACGTGTCAGGAGGCCACAAACCATTAAGCACGACTGTAACACACCGTGTGCGTGCGTGTGCAACGCAACGTGTGTGTATCTACTTATCCACACATGAGGCAGACCTTCATGGCGCATGACTCACTCGGACCTCTTCGAGAACTCGCCACGCCCCCCCCCCTCCCCCCCGCCCCCCCTCCCCCCCAATGGCTGGGCCAATCACACGATCACAAAATCTGTCTCGCCCCGTCCATATGTGTGCCGAAATTACGAAATTATCCTTGCTTTTCGCCCACGCATATGCATACACCCAATTGCGCGCATCGCTCTCCCGTACACACCCGCGCGCACGGCAGCGAGCAGGACAAAGGGCGGCGAACGCTGCCATGATTGGAACAAGGACCCAAGGCAGGGAAACGCATAACCATGCCTCACACTCTTTGCGGTAAGCTCCCCGCTCGACCCTTTTGCTTGCTCCTCACGAATTTGGGCGACTCCACACCATTCTAACGCCCGCCGCCGCGATAAAACCAGCGCGCAGACCAGCAGCGTGCAGGCGAAATCGCTGGCACTGCCTATCAAGCTAGAGTCGTCATGCGTACCGAAGGCCTACAAACGTCATTTGACCACATGCTTGCCCAAAGTCCAGGGCGGTGGGAAGAGGGTTTTCTTGGGTGTGTCCCCATCAACCCAACATCTGCCTCCATCCTCCTCGCAAGCAAAAAAAACACACCGATACCCAACGGATCCGCGCGCATGCCGACATGTGCACACGCGACCCACGGGGCGAGCGACGCGTGTCCGCAACCCTAACAGGCCGAAAGAGCGCGTCGGCACCAGTCACGAGCGCTCACCATGCTTGCTGCTGTCGCTGCAACGAGCTGCCCCGAGAGTGTCCTCCTTGCGCTGCTGGCAAATTAGGTCTCTCTCTCTTTTTCTCTGCTTGGCTCGAGGATGTCCTTCTCTATCCCGCACAGCAGAGATAAGACGATGAAAGAACGATCGACCGCTGGCGGCCCACCCACGTAGATCTAGCTGCAGATCGGAACTGGTAGATGGGCGCGAGACCTGTGCCGGGTTGAGAACGAGAGTGGCAGAGGGCGCACGAGGCAGGGCGGGCGCGCCTCCCTCACGAACAAGAAACAGCACACAGAAAAAAAAAAAAGAGTTTGTGAAAAATGAAGCGTTTCTTCACAAAGGGACGAGTCTTTTCTCACGAAAAATCGAATTTATGGAATTTATTTCTGATGTCGAGTTTCGTCCGCGACGAACTGCTGTCGGCGAAACTACTGCGAAACCGATGCATCGACGATCCATTGGGTCTGCCTGTGATGTGTAATTGATGTTCGTTGTGTGATCGGTGCCCCTCGTGGGTGCTTCCCCGCCAGTAGCGTTGGTAGCATGTACTTTTGCAGAAGTCGGGTGGTGAAGTGTGAGGAGGAGGAGGAGGAGGAGGAGGAGACTCCAGCAGGACCGCGAGCAGATGAGTCCCAACACTCTGTTTGTTCGTTCTTCTTCTTCTGCAGTCATCCATGATGAGCCTTGGTGTTGTTGTTGCTGTTGGTACTGCTGTAGAGGGCTGATGGTTGTTGTTGTGTATGCATGCAGGCGAAAACGGTCACACAAGCGTGTGCTATTCTCCACGAGATGCAACCTACGACAGTAGTACACTTCTGTACACTCTGATCAATTATATTATTGCAAATTCGTGCGACATGTTTTAGTCTAAACTTCAAAGGCATCGACGTATGCGTCAAGACTCCCAACAATCCTTCGGGCAGCGTCACTGAACTTCACTGCTGCAAGGGCTTTAATCCACCCCCTTGACTCCCGTCTTGAGTGGGAGTCGTCCTTTTGTGGTGTTAGTCTATGTGAGGTACGGTTGCTTTCGAGAGGGGCTCCGGGTACAGAAAAATAGCGAGCACTCTGTACCAGCTCTATTTTTTCTCCGGCTCTATTTGCCGGGCCCACACGGCTGCCCATGCCTACGTAAACGTGACACCCACCAGGCGCAAAAAATACCAACTGCTACCCTAGAGGGCGGGCTGCGGCGAGGGTGGAGCTTGTGTGTAGCATTTCTTGTTGTGCACCTATCTAAAAATGTCTGCTGCTCAGGACGCGGGTCCAATGGTGTATGGCGACATGCAGCTATTGCGGGAGGTGGAAACCGGCAACATGAGAGGTGTAGAGAGCTCGCAGCGGGAGCGGAGCCGGACGGGCGTCCGGAACTGAACACGCGACCCCTCATGGTTGCTGCCGGGCTTGGGAAAGTCAGTTTCGTGGAGTTCTTAGTGGCGCGAGGCGCCGGCCTGGATTCCAGAACATGTCGTGACGTACCCCGACCCGAGGGAGGCATAATCCTCCGAATGGGGTCCCAAGCGATCCATGCTGCGGTTCATGGAGGCTCACCAGGTGTTCTTTACGTGCTACTTCGGCTTGGCGCCAACCCCAATGCTGCAGATGACGATGGCGAGACGCCGTTGATGATTGCGTGTGGAGACTCGACAAAGGACCGATTCGGCTTTGCGATGGCCTCCTGAACGGAGGTGCTGATCCTTCCTTATCAACCCACTTTGGCCGGACGGCCCTGAGCTATGCGGCACGTTCGGGTCACACCGACGTGATGGACCTGCTTCTACGCGTTGCACCTTCAAGGCTCGACCAAGCGGACAACTACGGTGTGACACCGCTGTGTTGCGCGGTGCAGGGTGGCCACGAGAACTCTGTGTCCCGTTTGCTATCCGCGGGGGCAACCAGTCTTCGTTTCGCTATGGAATTGGCAGTGCGGTTCGATCAGGCGCGAATCCTCAAAATGTTGCTCACGGCGGTACATGCGGGGGAGAGCGACGGGCCCGGGGTGGCAGAGGTTGTGAACAGCGGACCACTGCTTCGCTTGGCCGCTCTGCACGGCCATCCCGGCGCGACGCACGTGCTGCTGGCGGCCGGGGCAGACGAAACGAGAGAGACCGACCGGGGGGAGCGTGCTCGCGACCTCATCGGAATTTTCGTGCCAGACTGCGAGAGAGATCCGGAAAAAGAGGCTGCCATCGGGCGCATGCTGCAGCAGGGAGCAGTTTTCCGTTCTCGATCGTTGGCCTGGCCGACCGAGCGGGCTGGTTCCACCACTTCAGCTTAAACCAGTCGAGCCACACACATCCCGTTGGGCGTACGTGTGTTCCAGCCAACGTCCACCCATGTCTTCGTGGCGGGTTTCGTCAGAGGTGAACTGTTCTAATGACGCCTGCTCCACATTTGCGTGTACTTATGCAAAGCTTGAACGATAGGAAGTACCGTATTTTCGGTACACTCCTTCCACCCGATGTTAAGTTGGATCCCTCCCCCCCCCCCTGCTCGCGGGCAAATCGGGCCGAATAAAACGTGAAAAAGTTGATTTATCCCCGGGGAAAAATGTACCATAAATAATGTAAACGATTTCTTGTCTCCCCCTTGATGCTTCCAAAGCATGCAACTCTTTGCTGATGAGCGACCATGAGGAATTCTCCTTGGTATCATACCAACATTTTCTCCCCGTACTTTCCCCTATATATATTGGCTACACTGCCGTGACGCAATATTGCTCGGATCTTGCTGTTTCAGTTTGGCACTAACGCAAGTGGTTGTGATACAGAGCGAGCCGCAGCGAGAGCCAGAGAGAGCGTTGTGTGTGTGTTCTTAAAGTTGTTGTCGTCCGCACCCAGGGGAAGTTTCCCACCGGGATAGTGTTCGTAAGGAAGGAGCCCCCCCATCCCCCTTCATTTCCCCGGGATGTAGTTCCCACACAACAAGGGATCTCCCCACCGGGGGAGAAACAGGGAGGCTTAGGGTGTTCTACCCGCTCACCAATATGTCGTTAGGCTGTTGTAGATGTGCATTGGTGTCACTTAGACGGTACTTTGTACGCTAATCGCTTGTTCGCTTGGTGTATGACCAGCCCCAAAGTATCCGGTGGTCTGGCGATAGCTAAGATCGGTAGTCCTGTCGACATTCGGGCAAAAAACGGAAGGAAAATAACTCGGGTTGAAACGATCAATGGAGGTCGTGACTAAAACTTACAACCTTCTAGCTACATGGTTTTGAAGATAATCTAGTCAGGAATTAATCCGAGGCATCCCTTGTTTGGCCCTGTTTCGGCATCTACTGTAGCTTAGTCCAGTGAGCTGCTGCTGTCGTCGCTGTCAAGGACAGAAAGACAAGGAGCAACTCCTTCTCCTTTGATGTCATCGGCAACGAGTGTTTAGCTCAGTACTCGATCCGGATTCCGTCTTCGATGATTGTTCAATATGGAGGCCACCTTATGGTGACGACGGTCCGTGACGTCATTTGCAATCAGTCCACACGACGTCCTGCCCTCGAAAAACGGAAAATGCACAACCCATACCTATCTGCAAGACGGATTGTATCGAGCGTATCTCACAGTGTTTGGTGCATATCTTGTCCTAATGCCCCCCCCTTTTGTTCCCTTCCGGTGTCGTGTATGCGCTCAAAAAGTGAGAGTGGTGCGGGAGAAGGGGCCATTGCGTGGGCGCCGACTACATAGCTTCAAGGCATAGTGAGAGCTGGAGACTACCGGAAGCATTCGATTCAACCACTGGAGCTGTCCCTGATCGCACCCCGGGCGGCGTATCATTTGTCATGGCACTGAAAGCGCCCTTCTTGAGGCACATCTCACGTCCTCTGCAGGGGATCGATTCTGCTGAAATACTGTAGCCGCACGCTCTGTGCAGGATTTCGTCGTCCGGTCTGAGTACTTTGCGCATAGGTCAAGTCCGATCCCTGTGTAGCAATGCAATCGCATCGTTTCGTTCTGGGTATTGTTTCGCGCGCGCCCGTGCAACACCCCGGACTGGGCGAGTCACCTAGGTGACTTGTCCGATCAGAAAATGTACACGGGGCGTCCCATTTTGTTTTTTGCCCCAGCCTCTTGTGGCTGATGGCTTCCGTAGCTACAGTTGTTTCGGAGTCAGATGCTTTGCCCACCTATTCTGCATCGGTAGCGTGCGGTGCGTGTGCGGCTCTGTCCTTTGTGGACTGGATACCGTAAGGGGAATTTACGAAATCTTGGTTGTTGCCAACATTTTCGTCCGACAAGCTTGCCGTAGTAAAGTACACTATGCTTTGTTTATTGCGTGAGTGGGTCATCGGAAAGCACGAACTGATATTATTTTCCAACACAACTGTGTTAACGCCAGCCCCGGGCGTCCTTCGCGAGAACCTCGGTGGGTGCGACAAGACGAATCTTCGCGCGCGATGTGTGTCGCAATGAAGCAATATTCTGGTTACCCGCCGTTTCAGTAGGATCTCTAAAACTCTTACAATATGTATGTGTGGTTTTGTTTACGATTTTTTTTCCGTCCGACCCGTGCCACCCCGGCAAGTTGATTTCATTTTACAACACCGTTCGGACGTCTACCCAGCCTCCTTACTCTTTCTGGTTCACCCGCAGAAAGACAATTTTGGTCGAAAGTGCCTGGGTGTCGAGAAAGTCAATGGACCAAGGATTCGTTTACCAGAACAGTCGCGGGAAAGTTGGCAAAAAGCTGGGCCATAGCATTCGTTGCGACCCGTATGGCTCGTGTTTTCCCGCGTACCTAGACCGATTCATACTTCAACATGAATGGCTTCGAAAAGTGCGGCAAAATTGCCATTGGAGACTTATCTTGACTTGATCGCTGCCAACGGGACCTTCCGGGACAGGATCCACCTTGGTCCTACAGTGCATACATACCCATCGGCGCGCTACCGCCGACATTGGACCCACACGCCTTGCTACATGGTTCAAAGGGCATGCATAGTACATACAGGCTTAGTGTTGGTACCGAAACGTACGGGTGCCGCAACGAGCATGTGCTTCAATAACTACGCACCCTAGGACAACAACACATCACGTCGCTGGCCTCCACGGCACAACATACAAATCGGCCTGCCCACAGAGGCCCGCCTGCATACTGCATGCAATTCACGATGCTCCAAAAGCACACGCAGCGTATAATCAAACGTTTTATCCTGCTATATCCAAACATGAGGGGCAAGAGACAATCATTTAACATGCGGCCAAGTGCACGAAACTAGATCTGCCAAAGATCCGTCCACGCGAAGCTACTCCATATCAACCATACCCGCAAGAAGTCCAAACTACACACAGAACACAGACCCACGGCTGCTGTAGACACGTGTGCTACTGAAGTTCACCAATGTCTCCTGTTACTGAGCTGCAAATTTATCTGGTACAGGCTAGATTGGTAACAACGGTGGACTTCAAAATATTATTGCGCAGCAATAAACCAAACGCCGACGAATCCTACATACTAGGCATTTAACCTCGCATCTTGAGGGAAAACACACAAACCAAACAAGCGAACACTACAGTAGGAACAAATATCGACGGCCAAACCTCAAGGGTCTCATCACATTCAGAGTGCATGTTCAAATCACGCAAGGTACCTCGGCTTCGTGTTCAAACACGCAACCCGAAAGCAAGGTGTACACTGGTGTGGCCGTGTAAAACGACAAGAGCCTCTCCTACACCCTGCCGTGGCCGGAAACAAGGCAGCGCCAGCGGGGAACATGCAACATCACGCTCACGGAACTACAATCAACACGTCCAAAACAGCGGTAGTAGCGTGTTCAGCGTGCACAAGCTCAAGACCGTGCTCGTGTTCCCTCTCATTTCTCCGCGTACCTGGCGCGGCGCCGGTGAAAAGGAAAGAAACACGCAAGGTTGTCAGTTGCGAGGACTTAGCGTTGCATGGAATGGGTTTGACGCGGCACCGAGGATAAGCCTTGCCAGGTATAACTTTCCTTGGCTCTCGTAACAGTTAGTAGCATCATTCTTCGGGAATAGTCCCCTGTTCATCGCGTTCCTTCTCCCCACCTCCGCCTTCGGGATGCGTACCCACATCGCTTTGTTTGTTCTCTGTTGGACGCACGCGAAGCTGTGGAGGTGGACAACACCTCAACAACTCTTTTTGTGGCGAATCCTCTGAAACATTGAATGTTAGCGTGCGCACACGCGGAAAAACGTCAGACGCGGGCATACATGCGCCCGTCACTTTTCTTAAAAGAAAAAAAAGGGGAAAAGAGAACCACGTGCGAGCGTTCAAAGGCATAAATCTGGGGCGATTACGTGACGATCACCCCAGAGCATACATTGTTGGCAACATCGCCCCACCTGCAAGAGTCTGCTATCCCCCGAAGAAGAAGAGCCTCAATACCCTGAAACTCGTGAACATCTACACCAACTCAATGTCGCCAAACGTTTTGCTACCATCACACAGATGCCCTACTATACTATAAGACAGCCGAACTGCAGCTGCCTCATACACCGCAGCAATCGTGCGCTCTTGGACAGTGCCAGGCAGGGCCAACAAGGCTGGCTACCTTGGCCTCCTCACCTGGCGAAGCGCGTGGTGAAGACTCGGCTCCTCGGCCGGGTGAGCAGTACACCCACCGCGCAAACTCTGAGCTTGGACGAGGGGATCATCATGGCCGAATTATAGCCCGCACGAGGTTCAGAGAAAAGCCCTGCCGGCCAAGCCCACGATCGAGCGCGGAACGCTGGGCCGCACTTTAGCACCCGGGCGATGGCCGCTTCCTTTGTTGGGTCCCTCTCCGTTGGAGGACCGAATTCCGGTTGGGCTGTCCCGATGACATCCCTCGGAAGTGCTCCATTGATATCCACCGCTGCTTCGTCCGCCCCGGCCGCGAGGAGCAGCTTGACCGCGCGCTCAGAGAGGTGAATTCGGCGGCGAAGTGCAGCATGCACTTTCCGGAATAGTCGTCACTTACGCGAGTCCTCGCCCAAAACGTTCGCCTCTCCTCTCCCTCCACGGAAAGGAGAAGGTTCAGTGTTCGAGTCCTGCTCTTGGTCACTGCGCACCCCATGGCGTCTGGGATCGAGTCCAATCCTCCAACCGCTTCCAAACCTTTGCCGAGCAGCAATGACAGTAACGTGTCGTGGCCGGCGACAACAGCCTCTTGGAGCGAGCCCGAACGAGTCTCCTGAAACACTTGCCTGTCGCTAGCACCCAGGGATAGAAGGCATGTCACCGCCTTGTGCCGTCCAAATGACGTCGCCGTCCCCAACGGCGTCAATCCTTGTTCATTGACGAGGTTCAGCGTTGCCGGTGCCGCCGCGAGGAGTGTGGTGAACAAGTTGGTGTGGCCTTCCTTTGCTGCTGTATGCAACGCTGACCCATACGGACCACCGCGCAGGTTGGGATTTGCACCCCACTTGAGCAGCTCTCGGACTATGCACAACCGCCGTTCATCGTCGCCATCGAAGCACGCCACTTGGAGTGCATTGCAACCTACCCCATCGGGTGTGTTGGGATCTGCGCCCGCTCTTAGGACACATTGCAGAGCGGGAATTCTTCTCACGATGACGGCTGCGGAAACCAGTCCCAATCCCTTCGGGATCTTAGACAGGATGCTCCAGTTACCCTTCATGTTCATTCTTAAAAACTCCGAAGATGACGCAAAAGAAGTCGATAAATCGACACCTCTCCCAATAAGGAGCATAATAATTCCTACGTGGCCGTGAAGAGCTGCGAGGAGTACTGCTGCCGATTCTATCCGATCGGTTCCACCACCACTCGCTGCTGATGATGCTGATTCGCCCTCTTTCTTCTTGTTCAAGAGTTTTCCGACTTTTGACGTGTTTCCGCCCACGACCGCCGCAAACAACACCTGCTCGGACGCCGTCAACCTAGGCATGGTTGCGCGCCGCTGATCGACTAACCTAGCAATTTACCAGCTGTTGATGTGATACTGAGGTGGCGCTGTACGGTGTCGAGGCAGCAAAGGTGTGTGGTGGTGTGGGTGATGAGTGGGGGCTGGGTGCCGGTTGTGCGGCGCAACCCGTGAAGAGGGGGGGCGCGCGGTTTCGCATGTACTGCCAGTTACCTCCGCCACCACTGCCGTCCTTCCGACGGACGAGCGACACACATACGCAGCGAACAACAAACCGCGACTAAGCAGCATGGTACGCGGGAAGGGGAGCTGGCGTCGAACGTATTCTCTGCGAGGTGGAGCTTTGACGGCTTGGAGCGTCGTTGCATAATATTTGTTCTTCCTTCAACCCCGGTGCGCACATGCCACTTTTCATTCTCTGCGTGGAAACCCTCAGTGGCACCGTCGGATCACAAAAGAGCGGCACACAGAGCTCGTGTCTCTTGGTTGGAGCACAAGACGTGTGAGCCCTGATCAACAGCCGTAGAGAACAGGAAGCCCAGAAAGAAGCAACGTTGAGTGAGCGAGAGGTGCCATCGTAGCTGGTGAGTGCTTGATTTGATTCCAACTTTACGGGTGAACCCTGTGGATTTGCAGTCATGTAGCGAACACACCCACCGGCCGTGTCTTTGTTGGGGCGGACCAATACCATATGATCCGATCGTACAGCAGTCGCCTCCACCGATTGTGCTGCAGCACAGACGTCGGTTCAATCCATTCGCATTTCTGATGCTTCCTTCTCGGCGTATCACCTATTGATGTATTGGCGACTTTCTACTATGCCGTAGACGGCGCGTGATGGATCATGAGACAACGCTACACAATAAGGTAGACACCCACTCATATCCTTTCTCCCTTTTGGGACTTACGTCAGGCTAAAGGATGGCTTCGCTGTATGTAGCGGTGGTTGTGTGTTGTGTGGTGCTCCATCGGGCAAGGTAGGTAGACTTCCAGTCCTAAAAGACACAGACACAAAAGGCGAGAGGGTGAGAAGGTTATCATTCATGGTCCTCATGTTGCCCGATCATGACAATGGCAGTCGACCCTGCCGCGCTGTGTTCCTGTGTTGTGTTGGAGATGGACACCGTTTGAAACATTCCCAGTTCTACTCGGTTTTTTCGAAAACCCGGCAGGCGTCTACGAGCGACGGTTATCATCCAAAAGAAACAAAGGTGCTTCAAACGGGAGGCGTTTATGAACAGGTTATGACCGGTTAACTGGCGCTGAAAAAACCGGTTATGCTTTCGGGAATGGAGGGGTGTGGTGTGAGGCTTGAAGCTGACGAAAACCGCATATTGTACCATTATGACCTTGGCACGGGCTTGTCAAGTGTGTGGAAAGAGAAAGATTAAAATCTGTCTGCAGCTCGTGCGTCGACAAGGGATAGTCCAATGCGAGTGGCGTCCGATGTACGTATGCAAAGCACCTGATGTGATCTTACAGTCGGTCACAAGCGTAACTCAGAGCACAGCGTATCCGCACGTGGTGCGTTGCCAACACGGTTTACACTGCTCGTGGTGATCAACCTCCGTGAGAGATTTGTGCTGACGGGCTTTTGCCCGAGGACGAAGAGTTCTCAGGTGGAAAAAGATGTTGAAGAAAAGTAGTTTTTAGTCGGAGAGACCGGAAGAAAAACAGAGGGAGAGGATGGGGGCTGCGCCGGGGCTGCACCATCCAAGCAAAAGCATACCGACGGAAACACACTTGAAATTATATCCCGAAGTGTCAACCAATCAGACAACATGACCTCTTGGGCAACGATCCGACTGACGTCGTCTGGTGCGTATACAAAACGCACTCAACATAAGGTTGGCCAATCATATATATATATTTGCTATGTACCAACTAGTCGCCAGCAACAAGTAATTCTAGCGACCTATGTACATGCGAAATTCGACTCAGCAAAGCTATGATACTCAGAATGAAAGATGCTGAACATATGTATGTCAAGAACAAAGTCAATGTTCACCAGAAGGAAACTTCTTCTAGAACATGCGAAACTTAAACGGATACCCGAATAGACTGATCATATCAAATGCACTCTGCTTGTCCATCAGCACATGAAGCACAGAATATATGCCTGCACTACTGCGCGTCTTGATGCGAAGGTGAGAGCGACATTGTACATATCGCTGTTTACCTAAGTATATAGGTATCGCATAGTTATCGCATGTACGATGCGATGTAATTATCCAACAAAGCCGTTTTTTTTTTAAGAATAGCGCCTCCAGCCGATTTTTGCTCATTGGTTGGTCCTTTCTTGGTGCCTATCTCTCTTATGTGAACCAAGACACAACACCGGCAGTTGAAGGATGTACGTAGCCACAAAGCCACAAAACAGACACAACAGTTCTGAAAGATTGCAGGGAGGCGTTTGCTTCTTTGATCTGATCCGGCTAACCGGTTTCAGGTAGCCGGCGCTGAAAAGAACTGGTCATGAACCGGTTAGTTGATTTGGAGAACAGCGCCTCCTAGCCGGTTATCGCTTATTGCTTTTTCCCTGCTGATGCCCATAGCCTATACTAGCGGTTAATCGGTCAATCGGGTCAAAGAAGGAAACGCCTCCGCAACCTTCCAAGACTGGGTCTTCTTGTGACTTTTGTGGCAACTACACTTTTCGTTCAAGCTCCCAGTTGGTCTTCTGCCGATGTTTGGCGTGGCTATTCACGCACACGATGTATATCGTAGTAGTGACAGGTAGAGATGGGCATCGGAAGGCAAGAAAGCAAAACCCGGCTCCGAGGCGCTCAATAACTGGTATTTAATAGTGGTTTTTTCAGAGCCAGTTAACTGGGTGAATCGGTTGCAAAACGCCCCTGTTTGAAACAACTCCTTTTTTAAGGTCACCGTAGACGCTTGGTGGGTTTAACCGAGTATTATCGTTGATCTTTCAAACGGTGCCCATCTCTAGTGGTGTTGCCTTTGTTGCTGACCCCAGCACGCCCCCCGAAGAGGTGAGACGCAGGCGCGTTGCGACCCACATCGACGTATGCTATGGAAATGTAATGTCCAAAAAGTGTTTCCTGTGTCCTGTTTCAGATGCGAAACATCATCGAATCACGATCGAGGGCGAAGGGCTCTACCGCGGTGTTTACCGCTCTGTGGGTTTCTCTTCGGCCCCCTCTCTCCGCAATACATGTAGGGGTGATCAATCCCAGGAGGGATGGTCCCACAAATTCCAAGTGTATCCCGCTTCATGGGCGATTTGGGCAACTCGACGGCCGAATGGGGACCTCTGCAGTGCAGTTCTGTTGGTGTGCTTCCACGAGGGCTCGGATTTCGTTCGAATTGTGGGGGTCATCTTACAATCATGAACAGCAGTCAAGGCGCGCTTGCGGCACGCGACACGTTTACTTTGGTTTGGTTGGTTTTTGGCCCACTTTTGCAGGCAGACGACGATCGCCATGAAAGCAATGACCACCCCTCGTCTGCATGTTGATCTGTGGTCCTTTATCCTACCGTGATGGAGTATTGGCCAAATTGGAAGACTCTAATTGAGCAGGATCCTGAATGTCACCTTCCACGAGCTGGAAAGATAATTACCTGGAGCAGCATAGAAAAGGTTCAATTTACATAATGGTACAGATAATGGTGCAGCATTTCTCCAGTTCAAAGCAAAACCAAAGCGCATCAGTAGCTATCGGATGGAAAGTGTGACTTGAATGGGACGCCCGTGTACGTTGTGGTATGCCACGGTCTGCGTGAGGTGAGGAGCATGACGAAGTGACCCACATGCATCGAGCAGCGTCCAAATTTGAAAGACTGAACATCAAAGTTCAGCTGAAGGCAAGGGCGCGATTTGATGTTTTGTGTTTTTTGTTGTCCCTAGAAGGGAGCACCACATGTGATTGAGTGCGGGAGGGAAGGCGATATTTGTAATTTCGTATTTTCGTGGGGGGTACGAAAAATGGGGTGCCACAGTTTTCTTATACTTAGTTCATTCCTGTCTCATGCTTTGATACCACAAGAAGAGAGAGGTACCCTGATGCATGACAGTCAAACAGGGCCTATTGGAACAAATGCGTACTCTGAACAAAACCAAACCAACGCGTCTCTTCATGTAGCAACCCTTAATCGATCCACGAGACCTCCACTTTGGAAAACTGCAATTTGCGTGAACGCCTGCAGTGTCACTTAAGGCAGAGGTATCTCGAGAATGACAACACGCCTACTGCTGTGTTTGGTTTCAGTTTCTGCTGATATTTGGTAAAAATGCTTCGTTTTTGGCTGGCGTATTTTCATTGGTCAGCCGATCATTAGTCACGGCCTCGGCAACAAACAGGCACTAGCGACACGCTCCTCTAGAGCGGCCAGGTTAGGCCTTCACCTCACGCTTGCCTTGAAAGCTAGCCATCCTGGCGATTTGTTGTGCGGGCTCCCCAAGACACGAAGCGGGAAATAAAAGAGCTTCGTTGCTTCGATGCTACACCCCCGCACGTTCTCCCTCCGAAAAAATTGCGAAATCAAGGAACGCTCTGACGGTCAAGAATCGCAGCAAGCGGTTGGTTCGCCTCGATGTTTGTGCTCCAAATTTCAAGTTTCGGCTTGTTTACGCATGAGCCACGAGAACACTGCAGTGTGCACTCAGGGCGCCCCGTTTTCTCCAACAGCTGCTTGATTTCGCTTGGTGGATTGATCACTATCATGGATGCCGATAAGCGGCTACTGCAGGAGGTGCAGAATGGGAACTTGAAAGGCGTGGACGAAGCGTTGGCAGCTGGCGCGAATGTGAACGGATCATCACGCCTTTCCTGCCGACCTCTCATATGCGCTGCCAGATGGGGCAACTGCAAGATTGCCAAGCGGCTGATCGAGAAAGGAGCGAATTTAGAGCTGGCGGTTACCGATGAAACGGGGTTTGGTGGGATCAGCCCTTTGTACCCCGTCGGCTCGAACGCTCTGCACGCGGCGGTATCGTTCGGCGTGGAAGTGGGCATGATCCGGGTGCTGCTTGACGGAGGAGCAAACCCCGACGCGCAAGACATCGACGGCTGTACGGCTCTCGCGAACGCGTGCTCGGTTCTCGATCCGGACGAGCGCTTGGCGATGGTGCGCGAGCTGCTGCGGGGAGGCGCCACTGCCTTCTCCAAGACCTTCAAGGGTACGTCGCCGGCCCACTTTGCGGCATCAAAAGGCGACTGCCGACTGCTGGAGCTCCTGCTCTCCGAGGCCCCCGCGATGATAAACCACGTCAACGATGATTTCGGAACACCAATGGCTTTCGCCGCTAGCACCGGCCAAGACAAAGCGGTGTCCTTTCTGGTATCCGCAGGGGCGAGCGACGAGGCAGTCCTCTCCCACGAACGGGGATCGCTCTTCATGGCACTATGCCGGGGCTTCACCAACGTTGTGCGTGTCCTCCTTTCAAGCCCGGAGGCACTGAAAGCCGCCGGGGGCTATGACGAGATTCGCCACGCCATGTGCTGGGCGATGCAACAGGGACAGCCCGAAAGCCTTCGATTGCTGATCAGCGTAGGGGGTAAGACCAGGTATTGGTCCAACCAGCTCGTGCTCGTGCCGGGCAGGCTCTCCGACAACCAGGTGCGTTAAGGGGCAGCGAGCTCTTGAGCCAAATGATCATCACTACCGTTGGCCAATGTTCGTGCTGGTTAAGCGGTGTGGCCTGGTTCATCCTGTGCCTCCGAGGCTATGACAATGACATTGCAACGGCATGCTGGCCATGGCTTAACGCCTCATCTCTGTTTGCTCCAATCCCGCATCAGGTTGAAGTGCCTGCTTTGCAGTGTGCTGTGTGCTATCAGTGCGTTGAATCAACGAAACTCCTCCTCGAGGCGGGGGCGGACGAAAGGTTCTTGACCAATCACAAGCCCGCAGATCTACTCGGTGCTGTTGGACTGCTCCTGGATGCCGAGGACAGAGACCTGCAGAAGGCGGCTGAAATTGTGCGAGTGCTACGGAGAGCACCAGCTTTCCGGGCTCGATCATGGAGGTGGCCTGGGGCGACAGCGACTCCTCCTGTGGACGCGGGTTCCGATCCTGGTGACGATGCCGCCACACCGTTGGGTGCACAGATTTTCTGGCCGGCAGGCAGAAACTTTTTCACCAAGCGCTTCGAAAAGTGAGGCAGGGAGGAAGATGGCGGGGGCACCACCTCTCGCGCCTTGTACATACTGCTGCGGTATTTTGGGTGCAATGGTGTCACGACGGTTGTTGCTGCACCACTCTATGCTTCTTGTCTACTTCTGTCGTTAGCGGCATGAGCTCGAAGAGGTCGTTGATGTGTGTGCGGTGAGCCGTGACCCGCTTTCGCCGGACGAAACGCTACTTATTGATTATGCGCAACATATCGTCTGAAATATATGCCCCTGGCTGGATGCCATCGGATTACCCCATCCATACCATGGATTGTCCCGACGGACCTATACTTTCTGGCGATGAAGACGTGGTCGTGGGGTACGGGGAACCGTACCCCTTGCCCTTTTCTGTGCACGGGTCGAGCAAGGAAACCGGTTCCATGATGAGGGTTTGGAGCTCTCCATGTTGGCACGAAGACGGGTTGCACATGCATCTAGCCGCAGTCCGGTTGCACGGGATGACACCGAAACTGTTTGCACACTATATTGATCGACACGCGGACTGGGTTGTTGTGTGTTTAGAAGCAGGTGATCAAGACCAGCAGATCAAGCTGTTACTCCGTGTCGGCTTTTACATTCTCTCGCATCCTCTTGTGCGTCTTACTCGTGCCAGGTACGCAAAGAAGTGAAGACCAACAACGGAAGCAGGAGAGCACGTTTCTTTTACGTGCGCACATGAGGAGTACTATTGTAGGCACCGCGGCACCTGTTCACGACCTATCGGCATCTTTTGGAGATCGCGTACCGCTCTAGCCGTAGCGATATCACACCGAAATCGGGGCCATGTTTCGTGGGTGGGAACGGTTGTGCGTGTTCGGTTTGAAGTATGATATGCGACGCGCTTCATTGCTGTGTTGCGGCAATGGCGTTAGTGACGCCGTTTACCACGTACCATGCTGTTGTGCACCAAAAGGTGAAGAAAAAATATGGTGGCGGTAGACAGCAGTCACAATTTTGGAGGATAGTGGGTGTTGGGCTTCTCGTTAGTCGCAAAGTTTAAGTTTCCCAGTCTTCACCTACAGCAGCAGTACCTGCGAAAGTGGAGGGTTACCGCGTAGATTTGTGTACCGGTGGTTGCTTTGGCAACTGCTAGATCCCGGAACCGTTTGGCTGTTGGGGCAATAATGTCCGAATTACGGTGAGAGAGTAAGGGCAGCGGAGATGGAAGCACCCAAATATGTGTACCATGTGATGGAAGAAGGCGACCCCTCTTCATTGTGGAGTAACAAACTTTTCGTAAGAACGTTTTTCGCTCGTTGGAATGACTCTGAGAAGCAATCATGAAATCCATCGCGCACACAGCGTAAGCAACGTATGTGTGGCTGAATGTATGTGTTCATGTGTGTGTTTGTAAAATTTATGGTCGTTCACATCGAAGGCCAGGATATCTACTGCTTGCTCTGCGATTGACAACATAACTGGTGAATGAGGTTGATTTATTGCCAAGGTTGTATGCGAGAATGTTAATGTTCGGATGGAGAATGACTTGACGTAGCTTAGGTTGCTGCAACAAACTCAAATAAATGTTGATTTGTCTTCAAAACTGCTGTGTGTAGTGTTTTTCTTGAATTTCTCTTTTTTTTGCTTCGCGAGCGAGTGGTTCAAAGAGCTATTTTTGCGGTTGCTTTGTTGTTTTGATATCTCGTCGGAGTCGATTTCAACTGGCGGGAGAGGGTAGTCCACGACGTCCTTCTTTCTGGTGTATGGATCCCCCCCCTCCCCCCCTCCGTCATGTTTAGGGTCTGCGTCATCGTGTGTTTTATTGTTCGTGACGGGTTAGATCGGTTTCACAAGTATGCATGATTTTAGTCTTGATCCTCGGCCTATTGGTCGAAAGTGAAGTGTGACGAAGACCGGGACAGAGTCCAGGACAGGGTTTGGTGTGGTACATATTATATCCCCCAGCAAAAAAACAAGCAGCGGGGGAGAAGCAGGATTTTTCTTTGCACTCTTTTACATGGGCCAGGAGGCCTTGTATGTTGTGGTGAAAAAAAGGGGTGGGCGTGACACGAATGTGGTAGATGTATGTTTAGGTCTGGGTGGGGAGGACCATCGCATTTTCGGATTTTGGATCTTCGTTTTCTCGTTTCCTCCCCTTCCGTAAATTGTTAGAACAGAACCATCGAAAACCCTGAACCTGCGGAGCCCCCCAATGTCGGATCAAGTCGTTCCGCTCACACTCATCGCCTGCTGCTGCTGCCTGGCGTGTGCAGTGGAGCACTGCCGGTGTGCACTCCTCAAGCACAAGGGTTCGCGGTAGCCTGCGGTCTTGCCGCCGTAGAGCTGTTGGAAGCAAAGGCGGGAACGAAGAGATGCAAACAGCAGCAAGAGATAATAGAGAGAGAACATACACGAGAAGCGCCGTGGTCCCTGTTTGAATATGACGTTCCTTGGAGCCATGCTGAGTTTGCTCCTGCCGCGGTCGGCGTGGAGGGTAATCCAGCGTCGGAGCCGCACGGGTTGGAGGCAGGACCAGTTCCTGCAGAGCGCAGAGGTGAACAGAATATATGTTTTGTTTCCAACTCCGTGGAAGTTTAAGCTTGTCTTTGCCTACTTTGTGCTACATAGCGGCGCATCCAAAAGCGGACAGCAACCGGTATTCACTTGCACGAAGAGCAAAAGATGAACGCGCAGATACGAAAGAAAGCGGAGCTTGTACTGCTGTGACAGGTCACAACAGCGTCGGTGTGGGCGCTGTTGTTTTCGGTGAAAAGCGTCGTGGTGCCAGATGTCTCCCTTTCTTTCGTGCAAGGCCACATGATTTCCTCTGTGGACCACACGGCTGCGTAGTCTTACTGACTACGGAGTACAAGTTACTGCAGTAGTCCAGTGTGCCCCAGAGCGCATGTGCAACTTGTCCCCCAGCCCGTGAACACAGGGCAAAGGGCTGTGCTTCGCAGCCCCAGCTTTGCCCAGCAGGAGCCATCGCACATTCGGCAAGCATCATAGCTCTGCCGGCAGTATCTCGTGAGGAGTCCCCCTTTTGCCCAGCTGGTTGTCGGAACGCAGAGTGAAACACAGCAGTGCCCAGCCTGTAAGCGAAGTTTTCCTTTAAAGACAGATAAGATGGTGGTGTACTGGCAGACCGAGAGCCTTCGGGTTCTGCACACTTTGGTATGCATATATGCCACCACTTCTTATTATCTAACGCTAACACGCAATTGTTACTCCCTAACTTGGACGTGAGGTGTTGGTGTGCTCAAGTTTTAGTTATGCCAACATAGACCCGATTTTCGTCGTCATATTCCGTGCTCTGACGCTTCTTTTCGTACTGATTAATCCTTCATGTTTGTTCTTCACAGGAAAGAGGCGGTAAACCGAAAGTGAGCGACCCCTCTCCTTGAAGAATTAATCTCCCCGCTTTATTCTTGAGTTGGCTCCTTGCAAAGCTGCAGGACTTGTGTTGTGTAGGTCGTGCGCCTATGGCATTGCACCTAACCACGCGTCAACTAACCTCACCATTTGGACAGGGCGGACTTATGGGTTTGGGCGTGACAACCGCAACTTGTGTTTTCTGTTCAATGCCAGCGCTACCCCCCCCCCCCGTACCCATCCGATGAATACAGCAAGAAAAACCGGTCGCTGTTCCAAAAGTTGTGGTTGCCGGCTGCGACGCAGTAGGTGTGCCTGTTGCGGCTGCACAGAGAGGGGTCGCCGCGCTTGGCGGCGGGTGAGAATTGCTTGAGCCTTTGATTGGTCGAGACACGCGGCTCCCATCGTCGTTGTGCAAAACGTGCTCTCTCCTCTATATATATCTATATATATATATATATATATGTCTTGCTATTAGCATCGACCGCGGTAACCGGCTGACCAATGAAAAGGCGTCAGTCTCGGTGCGGTCGAAAACACGAAAGGCTTAAGGCCACGATGATCTGGGACCCTTCGAGGGGGCGTCATGGGGGAGTCTATGCTATTCTCCGGATTAAAGACAGACACCGAAGCAATAGCAGAAGAAAACCGCATGTGTAACCTCCCATGTATGCGTGTGTGGGTTCAATCATGGAAAAGTCTCTGCTCGACACTGCTGTTGCTCTTTGCTTGACACCTAAACCTACCTCTTGACAGAAAGCGTTAGCAGATGCGCGTTTGTGATTGTACTCCGGGCTTGCATTCCCATCAGCTCGTATGGTTATAGCGCACGACTTTATATACGTATGGCCTGGAAACGCTCTTCGGAATAGTTATCCCGCATCGTCGTAATTTTCCTGGCATTGCTGCGGTCCTTATGCTAGTTTCATCTTCGCAAATACGTCAAAACTGCACGGCGGGGAATCTTACAACCAATTGCAATACAGCAGTACTCCAACTACTTGCCGCTTTTTTTGTAAGAGCGATACAACCGCTGTAGTATTGCGTATTCAACCAGATCCTCCTCTTTCCTTTCATGGAAGCAGGGTGAACCAACCCACACCCCCACTCCCGATTGCCCACAGGAGGTAGTAGTGGAAGACGATTCTGCCTCGTCCTCGAGGCGGACAGAACGTCCACACGAAGAGCGCGGTCGCTCCAGGAGCGAGGCAGGGCCACCACCACCGACCTCAGCTGCGGGCGCACTGCTACACGCCGCCAGTGAGAACAACCCCGCCTCATCCGCAGACGCCGGCACCGTCGTCGACAGCAGCAGCACCGGAAGAAAGGGCCAGGAGAGCGGCACCCGAATCGGCCGCAGGCTCAGACGAGGAGGGGGTGGGAATGGCGGCAGCAGGTCGTCGTCTTCGGGGGGCGACGGGTCGTCCTCGGTGGGGGGGTTAGGGGGGGTAGGCGTTTCGGGGGCAGGGGTGGGGCCGGCGAGGCCCCCTGCGGCGAAGCGAGGTGGGTGTGTGGGGCTCAGCGCGCGGCCGGCGGCGCCGTGCACCGTCGTGTCCAGTGCTTGCTTTCTCTCGCTTGTTGCACCGGGTGGGATTTTTTTGCTTGAACGTGTAGACCCTCCGACCGAGAAGGTTTGGCGTGTTTGGGTTCTGTTGAACCCCGGAGACTCAATGCCTTACACCAGTCTCTCTGGTCTCTCTGTCTGTTTCTGTTTTTCTTCCCGTCTCTCGATCTGTTACACGTGCACTATTGTGTGCTTTGGGTTTGTAATTGAGTTTGTGATGAGCTTTTGGACCTCCCTCTTTGTAGGCGAAAGTGTGTAGGTGAATTGCGTCGATGGCAGGGGGGGTGGTAGATAGGTGAAGGGGGGGGGGGGGGGGGGGGGGGGGGGG